ATACAGTTAGTAATCTTTTGTGTCTAGCTGCTTTTTGCTTCAACTTAATAATTTTTGAGATTCATCCAAGTTGTTGTGTCTATAAGCAATTTATTTTCTTTTATTGCTGAGTTTGGATAACTCATATTTTAATCAATCTCATGGTAACAGACATTGGATTTTTTCCAGTTTAAGGTTGTTGTTTTAAGATTTTATTTATTTATTTGGCAGAGAAAGAGCACAAGCAGGGAGAGTGGCAGGCAGAGGGAGAGGGAGAAGCAGGCTCCCCACTGAGCAGGGAACCCAATGCAGGGCTCAGTCTCAAGACTCTGAGATCGTGACCTGAGCCAAAGGCAGATGCTCAACCCACTAAGCCACCCAGGCACCCCAGTTTAAGGTTTTTATGAATAAATTTTTTGTGAACATTGCTGTGAAAGTCTTTTGTGGACATTTGTACTCTCTCATCTTGGAATTGCTGGTCAATGGAATAAGTTAATTAGGAATTCTGAATAGTTTTCCAGAGTGGGTACCTCATTTTATTTCTCATTTTATACCAGTGTATTAGTATTCAAGTTGCTCCATGTTGTCCTTACGAACACTTAATATTATCATTCTTTTTTATTTTAGCTAATTCTGTTGCTTTCATTGGCTTACTCTGATATAATGATGTTAAGCCCTTTTTCTTACACATTTAGATACTCATATTCAGATATTTTCTTTTTGAAAGTGCCTCTTCAATTCATTTGCCTATGTTTTAATTGGATTGTTTACCTTTCTATTAGTGATTTTTGGAAATCTGTATGTAAGTTCTTTGTCAGATATATATTTTTCCTCCCAGTCTCTGGCTGCTGTTTTGTTTTTACAATGCTGTCTTTTGAGTAGAAATTTTTAAATCTGATGAGATATAATTTATCATTTTTAAAAATGTTTAATGCCTTTTTTGTTCTGTCAAAATCTTTTCTGCTCCAGTATCCCGAATATTTTTTTCCCAGAGGCTTTGTAGTTTTAGCTGTTACATTCAGGTCTGTGATCTGTCTTTTATTAAGTGTTGTGTTAATATTGTGCTATTAGTACACATATATTATTATAGCTTTAGAGTATGTCTTGAAAAGACAGTTTTACTTATTTCATGATATTTTTTCTTACTAGATTGCATGGACTGGGATCTCTAGTATAGTCTTAAATTAAGTGGTGGGAGGGGATATTTATCAAGTCCTTTTTTTGTCATCTATTAAAATAATTCCACTTCTTTATAACATATTCTTTTTATTTACTTGTAGATTCAATTTGCCAGTAGTTTAAGATTTTTATGTTTTTGTTCATGAGTGCTATTGGTTTATAATTTTCTTTTATTGCAATATTCTCGTCAGGTTTTGACATCAGGTTTTGCTTATCTCATTAAACAAAGTAGGAAATGTTCTTGATTCTCAGGCTCTGTTCTTTCTTTCTTTCTTTCTTTCTTTCT